AACAGTCCGAAAACAACAGACATTAAATTTCTCATGTCACGAAAGTTCGAGGTGCCAATTCTCTCAAGAAAATCAGAGGGGATTAAAAGCCTTCCGAACAGATAATTTACCGAAACGATCCGTTGGGTGCCCCTGTACATTCAATCCAAAATAACAGAACTTTCGAATTGAAGGGAAATGGTATAGAAATCTCCAGGTGAGAAATTTTCAAAACTTTGAGTATACGTTGTGAAGCCCCGACCAAACGATCGCAACATTTCAGCACAACATATCCCAACATTGTCGGCCCAGCATTTGCAAGCTCCGGCCAAACCGATCGCAACATTTGAACGCAACATATCGCAACATTGTTGGGCACAACATGTTGTGCGCGTTTGGCCACGCTGTTCAAATGTTGCGATCGTTTGGCCGGGGCTTAACCTCTCTACACCGGCCACCTCTCCACAACGGTAACGGCCAATAAAGCGCATCCCGACTGCCAAAATACCTCTCCACAACAGCCACTTAACACCTGTTAACAATTGATAGACGAACGATGTACACAGCCCCTCCATTTTTTATTGTAGAAGGTCACCACCATGCTTTGTTAGCCTCTGTTTCTGTTTAGTTCTGTTTTATTAATGTATTTGATTGTGTTACGTACAGTTTACGTTAAAATAAGTATTTTTAAGAACACAAATGTTGCTTCCCCGAAAAAACAGGTGTCACATTACACTCTTACCTCCCCATAACGGCCACTTTTCTCTTTCCCTAAGGTGGCCATTGCGGAGATGTTCGACTGTATTTAAAACACACCTTCATTAACTTGGAGTTCTTTAGCCTTGGCTACAAGATCTGGAATCCATTCTTGGCTTTCTCCAACAAATATCGCTGTGGTAAGAGCCATACACCTTTGACCAGCGGCACCAAATGCTGCTCCAACGAGCTAAAACATAAGGAGCAAATAATTGTATTTTCACATTCACCCATGGCAATATAGACCCCTCAATAAATTAATAAACATACAAAGAATTTGAAACAGCTTAAAAAAACTCAAAAAAGCTCTGGAAATACTCGCCTATGGCTGCCCTGTGAGCAGTGAGTTGCGTAGGAGAAACCAACTGCTTGCAGAGTAACCTTCAGTCAATGTTCCCACAGCATTTCTTGTTTTCCAAAACATGTACTTGACTGCATTTCTAACTTACTAGAAATAAGGAATGTGTTCTTTTTTTAAATATGACCACAAACCTGGTTTATTGTGTTTTCCTTGTTAGCATCAGGCATGATAACGCCATGGTTCTTTGCTCCCTTTAGGAAGAAGAAGATAAAAGAGATATTCTTAACATCAACTAAAAAATTCTCCAAACTACTGTCTGTACATTCCTTGCAGTGCCAGTTGGGAGAATTTGGCTTCCTATCATAGAAATATTTCCAACATTTGGTTGCCAGCTTTACTCTTAAAAACTGCAAGTGGAATATATTTATCACTACTGATACATGAATTACCGGTATGTAGAAGAGGCTATTTAACAAAAGGTGACAAGAAAAGAGGTTACACATCATCTGTTGTCTTACGTCACTGTTTAATCGGGATTCAGCAAGAATTTTGCAAATACCACATCACTTTGTTGTTGATTTGATCAATAATGATCACACAAAGTTTCTTTTAAGCTAGTAAATTTCTTCCCAACAATGCTGAAGCTGAAAGAGTACTTTGGTCAACAACAATGGAACACAATTTCTACTATCTGAAAGCATGGTTCAAAGAGTCTCATATTCTGATATAGACATGAAAGTGAAATAATATAGTGACAAAGGAAGTTGCAGGTACATGATGAATGCAAATACAACATTCAATGACCGTTAGTTTTGCCTTTCAGTTCATACGAAATTAGAGAAAAATTAAGTATTCCCCCAACAGAAGGGTCCCTGGGGGGATGGAGGGTTCTTTAAGAGTGGAGAAAGAAATGTATGAAGCTTAATTGGAATTTCCAGAAGTGGGGGCAGGGTGTCTTAAAGAAAAATCCCTTCTGTGTGGGAGGTGGGATATTTTCTGAAACAACACAATGAATTTTTGGAAAACTTACCATGTTAGACTGCACTCTTTTTCCATGCTTGGAACCTGTTTCATAGATATATTTTCCCTAAAAAGTAAAAGAAATTCCTTTATAAATGTCTGCTGTTTTTAATTCAGACAAGAATAAGTGGAAATTTCAATTACACACTTACAGCTGTGTCTGAACCAACAAATGAAATGGCACGGATGTCAGGATGCTCACAGATGAATCTGACAGCTACAAATTAAAAAAATAAAAGCTGTTCAGTATTATGATTGCATTCCCACCAAACTACCGAAAGTAGTTCTGTCTGCTCCTCAGATGTCACACACAAAAAATTATTTTATTAGTGTGTATGGGCATGTGTTGTGTGGCGGGTTTGCATCAAACATGTATGTTGTGTCACATGTCCCTCATACACTGTTACGTGTATCTTTTTCAACTTTCCAAGCATCAAAACAACCAGTGTGTCACCATTACATTACCAGCCAGGAATTTACAGACATTCTGTTTTGGTTCAAATTTGAGGCCATAAAGATATTCAAAAGAACTTTAATTTGGAATGTTAGGTCTCAAGACCATGAAACTTTAAAAGGGAACAAAATGTTCTTTATTGATAGAAACATAAAAAATATTATTACGTTCAACAGATCCATGTATAACATTTACGCAGCCATCAGGAATGCCAGCTTCTTGTGCCAGTTTCATGATAAACATGGTGGCACCAGGGTTCCTTTCAGATGGTTTCATGACCATTGTGTTGCCGCAAACCAGTGCCATAGGAAACATCTGCAGTGACATTTACCACGTGTTATTACCGTAAACAGGTTTTCTTTTAGAGTTTGTACATAGTCAGATGGTTGCCAAAAAGCATTAGCTTAGGTACTATAATAGTATAGAGGGCACTTGCAGGAAGCAGAACAAGTGTCCACAACTGGTGATGTTTGCTTACCAACAGAATTAATCCTCATAAACAGCTACTAGCATTTAAAGGATAGATGTGACTCATTGAAGCTTAGACTACTCACACTAAACATTGTTTTGTAAAAAGGACAACTGCAGATATCAGGTCATGAAAAAACAAACAACTATAGACACTACAATTGCATGTCACTTAAAAACTGTTGTGATGAAAAAGGACGTGGATTTTATGATTGAGCCTAGTAACTTATTTATTATTACAGGCCAGGCAACCTGTATAATGTAGACCCCTTATTAAACAGACAAAATCTACTGAGTGGTCACCAGCTTGAGTCCCTACATTTCCTTCCCACATTTACTGTAAAATAAACCTGCATTCAGCAGACACCTCTGTTAAGCCGATGCAGAAACCAATATTAAGCCATTTTGTTGCTCAAAATCTGCAATAAGCGGACACTTAAGGGCTTTTTACTTCTTGAAGCTCAGCTCAGACTCCTTTAACATTGTTCACCGAATGTCATAAGTTTTAAAGCTAAGTAGATTATTCCAGATTGGTGCATTGTCTGTCTGGACATTGTGTTATGAGCAGTCTTTGATCTTACACTGTGTTACAAAAGGGTTAACAATTAACTATTATTGCTGAACCTGTTTAGAGCGGACACCCTGTTTTAAGTGGACACTAGTGAGGGTCCCAAAGGTGTCCGTTTAATATAGGTTTCACTGTATATCATTATTATTTGAACTAACCCATAATGGCACCATTGCTGGAAAATTGAACCTGGGAACAAACAATAGTCCACAATGTCAACCTTTAAAATCTCCATACAACTATTTATGAATTTTTTACAGATGAAGCAGCTGGGAGAATCGCAGAGATAAACCAACAGGGGCTTGAGATAAGAAATTACTGGGGGCATTTTTTAACCAATGATAAAATGATTATATTGCCTATAAACTATCACCATTTCTATTTGTAACAACTTTTGGACCATGTGTACTGAAGGCACGTGCGGTTGAGTGTCGATCCACAATCTCGATCAATACCCTGGATTGACATCTTGATCAATACTCGATCAACATCCCGATCTACACTCGGTCAACACTCTATTGACCTTGATCAACAGTTGGTCAATAGTCAGCCAAGCGTCGACCAACTCATGTGAATCTAACAAAATTTAGTCAACTGTCGACCGAGATATTGATGGAGTGTCAATCGAGGTGTCGATGGAGTGTTGATTGAGTATCGATCAGGGGTTGATCAAGGGTATCGAACGACACTTGACCATGGATGCCTTTAGTACACATGATCCAAGCTTTTCAAGGTCTTTGTCAACCATGAGAATGTTGTGCTCAGATTAGAAAAGTTGAGCCGCATCATAATAATCAACATACGGGGTGATTCCTGCACAGACACCCAATGGAACCCTGTACGAATAAGTATCCATGTCCTTGGTGATCTGTGACACTGTTTCACCCATCTGTAGAGAAGTGATTGAGCAGGCATGTTCAACAACCTCTGAAAACAAAAAATATCAAACACTATTGGTCAAAAATATGTTTTATTATAATGTGGCAAGGTAGTCTTGAGGTAAATCTGAGCATAATAATTATTTTCCGATTAGTTCTTTCCTGGTTGGGATTTTGTCATATGGACATTTTCTGGTCACAAGCCATTTTTTTTTTTGTTTTTGAGAGCCAGCAAGCATGGCCTGAGTGCCATTGACATAATAAACTACTTACTAACTTAGCTGGCTCAGGCAGGACTGAGGAATATTGGCCCCTCAGTGGTTTTTGTATGTACCTCACAGGGCTCAGTCCATACAGGCCAGCACCATGACCTCAGGCCAATTAATTCCCCAGTATGGCCCTCATGTTCAGTTAGTAAGAGAATAATATTTAAACTATGAATATTTAAGCCAGCTGATAGCATTGAAGTTTTCCTACTATACCTACCAACTCTCACGCCTGCGGATTAAAAACTTAAAATATCTTACACTGGTTCATGCTTGCAGGCTTAATTCTCACGCCTGATTGAAAAATGTGAGTGGTTGCAGCTTTGCTTGACACAATTTCCAAAAATATGCAAACTCAAGCCAATGCAAGAAACAAAAACTATGTGTAAATGACGATACCTTCCTTCTTCAAATAGAAAGTACTGGGAGCAAGGTCATGTTTAGAAATACACATCCTGAGCCTGGGATTGGGAAATGTCAGGGCTGTTTCTGCTTCTCCTATTGCATGCAAATTTCGGAAGACTTCAGACGTCTTCGGAAGTTTTCGGATGTCTTTGGGAATATTCAGATATGTCTGTGACGTCTTCAAAAAACCCAGCACTCCCAGGATAAAAATCTCACGCCTATAACCCAAAAAAAGTTGGCAGGTATATCTTCAGGTTGACAGGTGATAAACCAACTGATTGTCTCCATTTAGAAACAAAAAAAACATACGTAGTCCTCTTTGAACACTGCCCATAGCATCAGCTGTTGTCTTGCCAGTATCCATGGTGATTATATCAGCAATTTCTTTCTGTTAAAAAAATGACAAGATTCAAGATTGAAATCCTGATTTGTTTGGTTTTAAATTTATTTAACAAACATGTGATTAAATGCAGATAAACCTCTCCTAATGATTACCTCTCTGTGGTAACCACTTCACTTTCACAATGGCCAGAATTTTTTGTCCTGGCTATACACCAAATCCATACTTTCTACTGCCATTGATTACAGAAACTTCCCTAATACCCGAAATCCTCGAAATAGCACCCGGGGTGCTTATTTGAGAGAGGCACTTAATCGACCGGATGCTCTTTTAACTTTTCCCAAATCATGGTCAGAAATAATTTTTTTTTTGTAATTTTATATGTATGTCAGTCCCTCAGAAGTGTCAGAAAGATCCTGTCTCTCTTGAAGAATTACATAATATAACCCCTTTAGCCAGTCTTGGCTGGCCTGCTGCACAAGATTCAGTTGGGCATTAGGGGCTTATTCCAGGGGAGGAACTTATCTCAGATTTTGGCCAATAGGAGGGGTGCTTATTCGAAGGGGCCGCTTATTAAAGGGGAGGAGCTAATTTGAGGATTTACGGTGCTTGTCTAAGGAAGGAAGCCGTTCTCCTGGGCAGTGTGTGAACTCTAAGACATCAACAATAAAGAAACTAACTCACTTCATACCATATATTTTTTGACAAGGTGCTGAAGGTTAAACATGATTTGTTGCCGAGACAGAATGGACTGATCGGCCCAACCAGGAAAGGCTGTTTTTGCTGCGGCAACAGCTGATTCCATCTCAGCATTGGTGGTCTCAGGGGCCCTAGAGATGACTTCATTAGTGGCCTAAGAAAAATGTATTAAATTGTATCATTTTGAACATCATGTAATACATCTCTGTAACAACATGCCTTGAGAACAAAATTAAAGTTAGCTTCTTGTAATGGAAGAGAAGTGTTCCAGCAATACACAGTGGAGTTATATCAATTTTTCAAATATACAATTTTTGGAAACTCCCGATTCTTCAAACCAAAAAGCATTTTCCTTCACTCAGTCCAACAATAATTTTACCAGAATTTTGAGAATTAAAAACCAAGCCTTGTGTGACTAACAGAAAGAACCAGTCAAAAGAATAACTAAGAAAATTATGTGCACTTACTGGATTGTGAATGTCAATCCACTTGTCAGTCGAGGACTCAACAAACTGGCCATTGATAAACAGCTTTGTGTTTGACTTTCAGAAAAAAAGGCAAAGGCAACATTGACTTAATGAGAATAGAACTAAGTAGGGAACTCGACAACTGAGACCTTTTGCACGATCTGGTCACATGGTACAAAATAACACATGCAAGTTGCGCGGTGGGACTTCCAAAACAAAGCAACTCGTACCAGTCCATCTTGACCTGCTTTTGTTTTGGAAGTCCCACTGTGCAACTTGCATCCTAGCATGTGTGACTTTGTACCATTTGACCGGATCATGCAAAGGGCCTATTTCACTATGATTCCATCTTGTATATTGGTGAGGTATTCTTTCTTAAAATGTTTTTAATTTCTCCATAAAACTGTTATGTAAATGGCAAATGAAAACAAAATGTTTGTTTGTTAAGGAAGCACTGTTGATCCTAAAAAATTCATATATAAAGGCTTAGTGTTTTCAACACTTACACCATCACCATAAAATCTCTTCCATGCTGCTGCCAATGGAGCCGTCTATGTGATAATGAAAACAAGAATTAAACTGAACAATCGCGCTAGATTCTATCAGATAACATGACTTGACAATATTGACTCATTCAAAACAAGACCATCCTGACATGTAACTACCCCATATGGAACACTACACGGGTATTACAGAGGGGGAAGGGTTGGTAGCCCTGTAGTCCTACCACTTTTTTGCGCGGGTTAATTTTTTAGGGCTCCAGATGATATGGATAATGTAATGTGGCTAAATATAATTTAGGCTAAGTTAAACTTGAGACAACTGTAGTGGCCAGCAGTTACCCTCCTCTATGCTGGATTGCCTGTGGGGTTGTGCAGGGCGGCCTGTGAATTTACAGCTCTTGTCAGGCCATTTCAGCCCTTCCCTCCTTCAGGTAAGTACAGGGTAAGTATTTTACTTCCACTGATATATTTCAGTGTGGTGGTGCCTAGTGGTTGCTTCCCACAGTGTTGTCATGGATACCCACCCAGGAAACCAGCATAAATCTACATTCTTCCCAACTTTTTAAGAGAAGAGGACAGATGCACACAGGCTACCCCCAGGAGGCCCTCGCTACAAACCAAAGGTCGTATAAAATAATTGTTGACTATAAGGTTGGGTCAGATAGGAAAATATTTGGCTCAAGGTCAGGACTCACATGGACATATGGACTGAGAGCATTGAGGACCATAGCCAAATATTTTCCTGTGTGGCACGCACAGTCAATAAGCTCAATATTATTAACACGTCTAGTCTGGTGTCATGTGTCATACAAATAAAATATTTCTACTTCACTCCAACTGTTGGGATCACTTTGTTACTGTATTTAAGTGAGGTAAGGCCAATTTTAAAAACGTACTGTACACTAATGTATACATGGGTATACAGAACGCATTAAAATAAGCTTGATAACATTAGTAACCTGACCAACGTAACGCCAGAGAAATTTCGAAATGTACAAATTGATGAAATAGCACTTAAAAATATCTATAGCGAAGACTTTCTCCTAGAAAAACACACGCACCCAGCTACAGTTTACCTTTACCTTTTTGCTGCTGTTAAGCAAACGCGAAAAAGAGCTGGCAGATCGAAGCATTTTTCGTTTACTAATCTTATGAGGTCTGTGACCAAAATTCGAACGTGGAAAAGAACGGGGACCAGATGCCAAGGGGCTTATGTAGAGTTTGGAGAGAGGGTCAGGGGGCAGCAGCTACGTTTATCTCAGAACACGTGAGAGGTCCCTAAGGTGCCTTTGCCAACCTTTGCCATATTTGGAGACAACACTACATCCGTGAGTACTGGGGACGACCGTAAAATCTCAGGCGGAGAAGTTGAATTTTCTCCTCAATTCTTTGATGAATTGTTCCTCGTTTTCTTAGGTTAAATCGTTATTTTGTAGCTGAATTGAGACGAATAAGAGAAATGGAATCACCAGGTTTGAAGCGCTATTACGTTTAATTTCTAAGATCACGTGTTTTTTCTATATCTCGTTTCTGTACTCATGTTCAATCTTGATCTGTTTGTCTTTGTAGAACTTGATCAAAGCTTGCAAGGTCTCTTAAGTTTTGAACGGCTGGATAGGGCTTCACCTGATTTGTGGCCAGAGCAAAGTGAGTTACGGTGATGCTTAGCTTTTTGCATTTTATACACTTGGTCTGCAAAAATAAATTAAAGCTATTTTGAGTATCTAGTGTACTTGAGCAGAAGCATATAATCAGCTTATTTTTGAGTTGCACTGTACAAACATGATCCTTGGTCAGTATAAAGGTGGTTTAATTTACCAAATTGTAAAAGTTTATCAGGGTCGGCTTGGAAGCAAGTAAACTCTGAACATGTGATAAGTAATTTTTCTAGTGTAAAGTTTGTAGTTTAGAGAATGTTAAAATTTAAGTCCTGGGCAAACAGACTCGCAAGTAGACGCAAGTTGAAAACTTGCGACTCTGTTTGGCCAGGCCTTGGGTGCACTTGCGTTGAATTGGGATGACTTGTGCTCACTTTGGTGGAGATCCAATATGCACGCAAGTAGACGCAAGTTTTCACAGTTTGGTCATGCAACCCAAGTCAATGCAAGTTGAGTGATGTCCATTTGTTGTTATAGCAGCCTGTTAGTCAATGAAATACATCATATGCGGGGATTGGGAAGGCAAAACAGGCAACTGAGCCTATGGCCTGCCATAATGGAAAGTTATGGGCCATTTGTAAAAAGTTTGGGTCATTAGGGTAAATAAATGGGCCATAAAAAAAATTTTGACAAGTGATACCAGGTGCGCATTTTGTTCCTTCAGCCTCCCATTTACGCCTTTTCCTTCTCCACTCATGACATTCGCTCCATCAGAACCAAATCCAATCATCTTTCTAACAGGTATATTCCTTTTCTGGGCTTCATTTAAGATTTCTTGTGCTAAAACTTCCCCTGTGCCATCTTCATACTCAACATCCCTCAAGTAGAATCGGCATTCATTTTGTAAAACGGCAACAATCTCCAAGTCTTGGACATCCAATTTCGGAACTCTCGCTTCCGGAAACATATTATTTGGCTAATTATAGCATGCAAAACTTATTCAAGTCAGCCAATTCTATCAATGAAAACAGAAAGCACATGGATTGAGCAAAAACGTCATTTCCGAGCATAGTCCAAGTGAGGGATCTGGGGACGAAAACAAAGCGAACACTTTTAAAGCGTTAATTTAGAGCAAAGGCATCGTGATTTTTCACATGTTTATTCATCATTACTAAAACTGAAAACTTCAGAAATGAAAGTCCTTTCCACAAAATAGTATATACTTTACTTGCTGTTTCGTGGCTAGGGTGCATCGCAGGCCCAGCAAGTACTTCCAAAATGCGCCATTTTGTAGCTTTATGCGCCATATGCACGTGGCGCATGGCCTTCCCAATCCCTGGGTATGTCTGTAATATCTACCATTTTGTTTTCGTGATGGTTACATTTCAGCTGCACAGGAGTAAGGCCATATCCTCAAAATGGGTTTTTCTACAACTTGTATGTACTTGTGTGTACTACCCAACACAAGTCTCTGCGGAAGTTTAACTTGCAGCTACTCGCAACTACTTACTAGTCCATTTGACTATGGCTTTAGGCAAGAGAGAAGGGCAAAGAAATTGAATCGAAAAAGTCTTTTCACCTTGCTGCTAACCAGTTAGCACAAGAATATAATAGTTATGATGGCTCAAGCAGATCCCTTCATTCACCATCTTGGAAAAGGACGCAGATTTCACCTGCCTGCATTCCTAAAGGCTTGATTACCAGCCACCGTACAGGAAAATTAATGAGCCGTGCTCTTCCACCCAAAAGGGAGACCTGAGAAAGTGGCAGAAATTGAGCCTAAGGGCCTGTTCCCACGAGGCAAATTTTTGTTTATTTTGCAAAAATATTTGTCATCAGTTGTGTTCTACAAGTGTGAACAGGATTTTTTGTCCTACCAGAATTTTGTCAAGCCTACTAAACTTCAAAGGCACCATCGTCCTGCCTCAGAACAGGACAAATTTTTGTCAAGGGTCAAAGGTGTCAGATTTTACAATTTGGAGGCGTTTATCTGACTGAAAACGTCAGTCAAGTAAATTTCATCTCGCATTTTAGAGTCTATACTTTCAACGTGATTGACACTAACTTGTGGTTATCAAATATTTTGGTGTTTTCAAGTGCGTACGCGATTATAAAATTCCAAATTTGGTGGAGACAAAATTTGTTGACATTTTTGACAGAGCCAAACAGATCTTGTCAACCTAGTATGTACGGTACCTAACATTCTTACATTCTTTTAATTGCCTACATTTATGTTAGTTACCAGATCATATGATTCCCTTCTATGATTTTACATTAAAAATATTGTACTTCATACCTTACTCTTGACAGTTCCTGGAGTGTCTGACTTTGCCTCACTTGCTGTTAGTGTAAGTACTTACCACTTTTCTTAGTTTCACTTTTTACATCCATTTAAATAAATGTTTAATATTTGGTCATTATGAAAAAGGCTCCCATTTTAGGCTGGGGGTTAACTGCCAACCAATTGTCGGCTGACATAATACTTACACATGTCACCAACAAACGGCTGGGAGTAAACTGATTGCATTAATTTTAAAAAGAGCAAAAATTGACCCAAAACACTGATATATATACAATATAATATTATGTAGGGACATAGAACATGATATTAACAATGTTGTTTTTGTTAAACATCACAGCCCTTTTCTCTATCAAGTACTCCACCAAAATGGTTGGCTGAACTAGAGAAAGATGACATGGACATGTTGCAAGGTACAACTCAGAAATCTTTGCCCGTAACAGTCTCTGATATGATTTCAGGAATAGAATGATATCTCTTGGCTTGATGTGGTCTAAATTCAAGCCTAGTAGCCCATTAGGCTGGTCCTTATCTCTAGTTTCCTTTGTGTGAAGAGACTAGGAGTCTTTCTGCTCCCTTAATTGGGATACTTGTCCATCACAAGGTTACCCTCTACCTGCTGGTACCCATTTATACACCTGGGTGGAGAAAGGCATTGTAAGAGCAAAATGTGTATTGCCTAGGAACACAACAGAATGATTCACGGTTTACTTTTGAATGGGTAAGGAGAAGTTAGATACTTGTGGGTTGTTCGGAATCAGAACTAATATCAAAGCACTTAATGATGTGCTATAATAATACATATTATGTCACTTTTTTTTGTTTCAATTTGTTTTGTAATTTTTGTAGAATTTGGAAGTCTTACTACATCACAACTAATGGAAAAAGTTCGTGGACTCCAAAATCTAGCATTTCAGCTTGGCCTGGATGAAGGTAAGTTGCTAACTTAGAGTACTTTCCCAAGAGTGAGAAGTGATCAAGGGCTTATTTCTCTTTACAACATCACTGAATTGTCAAGTGGACTGGGACAGATGATAAGAATAAAAAAAAACAATAAACTAGGAGATGTTGTTCTAATTTATCGCAGTGATCAAATTCTTCTGAGAAATTTCTACAAGTGTTGACAAAAGTGGGTGGCAGTCAGTATGACCTGTGACCTGTTTTTCTAAGGGACAGACAATTATTATTATTATTATTATTATTATTATTATTATTATTATTATTATTATTATTATTTTCTTTTGGCAAAAATTGGAAATTGCCTAACAACCCACCCCCTGTCATAACAAAAATATGGTCCATCCCTATTAGTAACCCTGCAGAGTAAACAAATATAGAAGGTGCCATCTGTAAGTCACGTTGTCTTAATTTAGCCTTTATGTTGTTTTTTACATACACTTATAAATACATATAGTACAATAATCTGTTTCCACATCGGGTTACAAAATAGACTCCTTTGTGAATTATCTGTGTGGCTTTCAATTTTATTCCTTGTTTACCATTTGCCATTTAACTGTATTAAATAAATCATAAATTGAAACTCTTAGGAGTCAATGAGTAAACTTTAATGTAACAGACAACAAAGGATTCATCAGGGAAATCAAATTTACAAATTTGGTTGTTCAGTATTTGAAATAGGGACAACCAGGATTTTATAGTAATAACATTATGATATGCATTGGCATAGCTGATGTTTGTTTTTATCATTTTTTCAGCTCGGGAAATGACAAGGGGGAAGTTTTTAAACATCCTGGAAAAAGTGAACTCAGGAAGAAGATAAGAATAATGTTATAAAGATAACCAAATTCTGTAGATAGGCTAGCTGTCAATGTTTTGGATAAAAATTGTTTTAGAATCTTGTAAGGATGTAGCTTTAGGTAACAGTACAGTGTATCATGGAATTCTGCAACAGTAGAATCCCATTGATACTTATTTTCACGTGATAGTAATCATTAAGAAAGTGCTTGTCCACAGGTTTTTCAGGCTGAGAGTAAGTTTCTATGAAAACAAGGTGGTTGCATTACCGAGTTTGTTGATAGGGTTCTGTTGTATTGTAAGGGGTTTTTTTTTGGCTTTTTTTTCTTGGAAAATGTGTTTACCTGAGTGTAAACCACACAACTTTAGCCAAATGTTGTAAACAAAAGGCCAAAGCTGGAAATGTTAACTTCCCAATTTTGTCATTGCAAAGAATTTCACCTTTGTTAAGTTAAGCTGATATTAAGTTAGCAAGTGTTTTCCCATGCAAGGTGACATATTGTCTTATGATAAATTAAACTAGGGGTAGCTGGCTCATCCAAAATAACATACAATTACACGTACTCATACGGTTTTCAATGTCACTGATTGCTCATACATGTAATAGAAAGTGAAGTTTTTAAATAGTTTTTTGTATCATCAACAAAAACTCACTGAAGCATAGCTACAAGATGTTTAACATAATTTTATTGCTATGTAAAACAATGTAGAGCTTTTCTGGTTAACAATAACTTTTGACCAGTACAGTGAGCTCTCTCTTCTTAGATATGTCATTAGACCCCTCTGAGGCTGAAAATCAGAGAACTCTGTGTCAAGGTTCATTCCGTTTCAGTCTCAATTTCATCACATGTTTATTCAAACATACAACAGGTCCATTAGAATCTAAAATACATCTTACTAACCTGGTCTTCTCGGTCTTTACTGTAAGTTATGGACCAAGTATTTCCCCTTCGATTTATGGCCCAAGTGCTTCCTGCTTAGGCCATAAATCCATGGGGAAAAACAAAGATCTGTAACTTACAGTACGGACTGAGAAGATGAGGGTAGTAAGATGTTTATTATGTCTCTACTGTGTGTCTGATGGGTTCGGGAACGACTGCTTTTCATGCAGAACGGCTTCAAATTTCTGACGCACATCAAAAGCAAACCAAGTCAATTTGAAATCGTTGTTGAATGGTTTTCACATTTTAATACCCAATTTAAAGTAAAAGAAAGTTTTAAACTTTTAATTGCTGTAAAAGTTAAGAACACTTGGAGACATATCACGAAACATTTTGGCAACAAAAACAGCGTTAAATTTTAGCGGGCCGTACAGTGGAATACAGCCTGCTAAATTGACCAATCACAGTGTTTGTAGTAACTGAGATAAAATAATTTCTTTTATTCCCTTCATAAAATTTCACCATAAGTTGATTCTACAGTATGGAAACATTGCATTTTTCCATTCAAAAGTAAATCAATAAATAATGGAGGGCTGAATAATCCAATATTAAATATAAATTGCCTTTTCTGCTTGTGAATGATGCCTTCACCAGGTTTAATGCTTTTTTTTTCTTAACAAAAAGTGGGCAATGGAAAACAATGGAAACAAGAGTACACTTAGATCCTAGTTTTATTTTTGTTATTTTGCAAAAAAAGGAAACTTATGTCCAAAAAAGACACCCCAAACATCTATGAACAGCTGATTTCTTGTCAGACTATTGGTATTGTAAGCATTTCTGTTGACAAGTAAATAAAACTTAAGTTTGTTTTCAATGAGTTTTTTTTTCCAATGGCGGGGGGTGAGGGAAGGAAGTGGCTGGAGGATCTAGGAAGGTAGAGGGGAAGGGTGGAGGTTATAGTGTTAGTGGTGAGACTCATTTTTTTAAATTAAGACTCAGATTTCGTCAATTCAATTTTGCAAAACTCTTGCAGAAAACACCCTTGACAAAAAAGTTATAATGTTAAAAATAAATTTATTATGTCACAATGCATGAGCAGCAGGCAAGAACTAAGGGCCCATACACAAAGCAAAATTTGTTTATTTTTCGAAGAAAGCTGTCATCAGTTCTGTGGTACACGTGCGCACAGAGATTTTATTCCTACCAAATTTTGTCAAGCCATACCAAACTTAAAGGGCACCAGCATCCTGCTTTACAGAAGAGGAGGACAAATTTTTGTTAAAAGTGAAACCTGTCAAGTAAATTTGATCTCTCTTTGATCTCTCTTTGATCTTTGATCTCGCCATGTGATTAACACTTTGTGGTCAACAAATATTGTACTGGTTTCGAGTGCACCCGCGATTATCAAATATTTGAAAATTTGAAGGAAACAGCTTTTGTCAAGATTTTTGGTAGAAGAGAACAAATTCTGTCAGCTCAGTACATTGTACATACGGGCCCTAAGATGAACTACAAGTACAGTACTACAAGTGTTCTCAGCTTATGGCCTTGGCTTTTTTATTTGCATTACGATCACAAAAAACGTTTTATGTTTTTCACTCTCTCATTAAATTTTTTTCTTTCTTTTTTCATTATTTTATAGTGTGCATGAAAGTCGCAATATTAAATTGCAATATACTGTGAGAAAAACAGGTGAAAGTTTTTTGATGGTGTTTCAATTTCTGCGTCAGTTCGAAGTAATGAGATCATGTTTTACCACATTTCCAAAATTATGTTGAGAAGGGAGTTGAAAAGATGACGGGCAGTGTAATATTTATGATGAAATTAAAGTTGTTTGGAAATGTGCTAAAACACTGTCTCAAATGTGGATACATCTTCTCAAATTGAAACTAAAACCAAGGAGAAAATTCAAGAATGAAATCATAAAAATCTATGTAATTAAAATTACATATCCAATCTGTCACAGTTAGTATTTACTTTGTTTAAACTTGATGGATTGTTAATGCATTTGAGGAGAAAGATTACAATATGGACGCAAAAGTCATTTTTTTGCGGATTTATTAGTTTAGAGGTGAGGCCATTCAAAGTCGGGAGAAAAATTTTACCAGGTTTCTTACACTAGTAATTATTTCCATTTTCTCCAGCTCCAGCATTCCTCTTTTGAGAAATGAGTGGTTTATAACTATAAAAAGAAAACATTCTTCAAACAGTTAAGAAACGGACACATTTAATATTTTTATTTGAGTATATAGACGTATATATTGATTTCTATTTGACTAAGAAGTAAACACTTAAGATCAAGAGGACATTGAAATCTCCATAATTTGGAAATTTAACTCTGCAGCATTTTAATTGTGAGTCTTCCCGTTAAGAATTTTCTTTTGTGGAATGTTATAAAGTAGGGTGAAAGTATTATTTTCAATTATAGAAATTTAGATTTTCCTTGGAGGAAGTCAAAGAGTGGGACTGTCGATCGCAAAGTGTGCTCTATATATAGTTGTCAAACAATGTATTGTCGTTTTATGATTTTGTGTCATTAACAAAGTGGCCGTCCCGGCGGATTCTCAATTGGGGGCGCCAAAATTTATCCGCGCGCAGCCTATTGGTCCAAATTATGGTGTATGAATAATTAATCCCATTAGAGTTGATTGATTCGTCCGTGCGTGACAGCAATAGACAGACAAGTGTCATATTCCATCGTTCCATTCCTTGGAGATCAAGAAGGCCTTGTGTTTACGGTTAAGATTCGCCACACTTTCTGCGTTGGTCGACGCTTTATCCAGCAAATTTTAAGAAAATCAGGTTCATCTCTAAACAACGTTGAATTTAACAAAGTTTTGGAGAGGCAAAGACGAAGTTCGGAGCGCGCTTTTCTGTAAAATAGTTCGACAAACTTCTGTCGTCATGGCGGAGGATGAGAGAAGACGTCCCATGATTGGAGCGATGTTCCGTGGACCAGGGCCGGCGGCTTACCAGCTACCAGGATCAACAGGCTACATTGGACACGACTACACAAAACACAAGAAGGCAGCTTACAGTTTTGGCTCTCGAACGTGGAAAAATCAGCAATCGCTGGGGCCAGGACCGAAGTACAGGATTACAGATGTGACACGCTTCGGCCCCGAAGGCACTCCGAAATATACTCTCAAATCTCGCACAAACTCACAAGGAAAATTTCAGACGCCAGCTCCATGTAAGTTTATATCTATTTAAAAGAGAATGTAGTTTATTGTAAGCGCCATGGCTCATGTGGTGTGATTAAAGTTTGGACAATAGCAAAGTTTATTTTCACTTGCTAAATTCGTGGATTGGCGCGTCCTTGGAAACGCCACGTGAGTGATTCTTCGCGAAGTTCTCAAGGAGATTCTGATATCCTGAAATGAACGCAGGCAGAACCTAATAAAATGTTTTTTCGTTAGGAAAAGAGCAACTCTCTTAATGTCTGCGATCTGGAGGATGAAGAAAAAAAGGCCGGTTTGCGGCACTAAATAGTTACATATAAATGCGGACTGACTTTTGACATAAGCCTTGCAATAGAGATGGTAACATAGTCCTCCAGACTCCAGCTTTACTATTACTAATCTCAAGACTCAAATCAAATACGAGAATAAATGCTATTGCTAGGGTCGATGAGAAATCGAGAAGTTGGATGCGAACTCGAACGGTGCGAAACATTTAGAACAACCAGGAGCTAATCAGATTGCAAAACGAAACCAAATACCAAATATTTTTGGGAAAATTCACGTGTTTGTTCTCTTATTTGGCGCAAAGTTTTGGACCAAATCCTTCTTTATGGCAAGGTGTTTGCACATTTTGGTCAGATATTTCATTTACAAAATGTAAATAAGGTTTTTCCTTATGTTTAGTAATAACTTTCTTACCTTTGAGAAACAAATGTTCCTGCCATTTTTGGGCATATTAATTATTGAATACTTAATTATGCATACAATTTTCAGACTCTTCATGGGTATGGAAATTGTATCCTTTTGCAGTAGAGCTGCACAGCCAAGGTTTCCCAGATAGAAATGTTCTGCACTTTAAATTCAATGAAACATTCCGGTTTGAATTTCTGGAAAACTGGCAAATACACATTTTCTGGATTGTATGGAAAAGAAGACAACTCCAAACTGTGGGATATTTTTTTTTTACTTTTCAACTCCTATTAAACGGCCACCCTTGGGGAAATAGATAGTGGCTGCTTTAAATGGGGTTGGCCATTTAACAGAGGTAAAAACCATAGAAAAGCCCTGATAGGGACTTTAATTACTGGTCATCTAATAGGGTGGCTGTTTAATAGGGGTTTGACTGTTCCATTTAATTTTCTGTCCAGAATTTTCAATTGAATGGTGTGAATTTTGGAAATTCTGCAATTTGTGGGTTTTCCAGTAACTTTCCCAGGAAATTTATGTACCATTCCGTTTTGAAAGTTCAGGAATTTTTGGTTGAGTGGAAAGCTTTACTCTTGATTCATGGAGCCTGGAGTCTCAAGTTCTGGAACTGTGATCATCATCTTCATCTTTATATATTGAACCGCATCTTAGGCTCTAATTTGTTTTTCTAAATTTTTGTGGGTCATTTTAGCATATGTGTACCCTGCAAACAGAGTCTCCTTCGATCTTCCCAAAAAATCTTTTTCAGAGACTTTGTATGAAAGCAAAGCAGTTGCCAATTTGTTGATTAACTTTTAGCAACATAGTGTGGGAGTAGTCAGCAATAGCTGCAAGTGATCATGCACAGCAGTAGAAAACCAGTTTGACCAGCTCAAAACTGGCTGACATGTCATTTGTCTTGGATGAGGGGCAAATCAAAGCATTGCAAGGATGCTCATAGAGTCTCCTTCCTCTTACCAATTTTTCTAGGAAGATCAAAGAAGACTCTACTGACAGGGTTGTACATGTATTGCTGTGAAACTCAAAAAATTATGAACACTTTGATTTGATTTTGGCAGGACACTCGAAGAAACCCCAAAACCACAAACTAATGGGCCATTTCCAAGTTACTTTTACCTCTTTTTCAAAATGAGTCTTGGTACAAACCTTTCATTTTTGAAATGAGATTTTCTTTCACGTTCATTGTCTTGTAAATCAAACTCATTTCCAGAACTCGTTTTGAAACAGAAAGAAAATACCAACTTGGAAATGGCTTATTACCACTACTGTTTGCGGTTTGGTTTCCCACATCTACCTAATTGGCTTTTTTCCTTGCTACACAATAACATTCCATAAGTATTCCTGGTGTTCATAGTTTTCTGAGTTTCACAGTAACTTTGTTGTAATTTGTCGTACTTTCTCAAAGGGGATTATCAAGCTGAGAAGAATCCTGTTCAGAAGCATCCCTTCCCTCCACATTATTCATTTGGACTGCGCACACCCTACGGCAAAAACGACAACAATCCAGCTCCAAATAACTACAACATGCCTGTGATTCTTGGCCCCAAGTCTGTGGGAAAGAAGTCCTCAGCTGCTTTCTCCATGACAAGTAGATCAAAGATTGGAAGTTTTCATGAGGATTTGCAAAAGGTTTGTGTATTGCCAGGTACAAAGGTCTAGATAACACTGCAAAATTTGAAGATAAAACATAAAAATCTCTTGTTTGGAGACAAATTACTAATTATAGGGAGCTTAAGGTGGCTGGCATCAATTTTCAGTAGTTTCCAAAACTTAGATTTCGATGAGTCATTATAACCACTCTTTATCAGTTGATGCTGCAATCATGGTATCAACAAACTGCCCAATCATTGACAAATGTGTTGTTATCAATTTTGTGGCACAATAGGCTACCATAGCAGCGCTATGACCTACTAACTAAAGACACCATTATTTTAACTTTAACGTAAATTAACTCTAAAACAAGCTTGGTGACCCCCAGGTTTCTATTATGGAATTTTGATTAGTAGGATAAGATGTAACATAGGCAAAATTAAAAAAATATACATACATGGGGTCAGTACCACTTTAAATTCTCGAAAACTTAAGGTGGCCCTGAACCCCATATACAGAAGTTGACTGGTGCATTGACTGAGCTCACTGTGTTTTTTGTTCCCGACTCTTATTATACCTGGAAATGTTAAGGGGTAATGGTGAGCTGTTTAGAAGATCTGATAAAGTGTGGAGAAGTTCTGTTTCATTTGCCACGTAAAGGAGTACAGTGACGGTATTGTGAGTTATTTTGGCCATATGCAAAATTACCTTTAAATTGAAGGAAATCTGAAAATAATAATTTGCTAAGATAGAAAAACACTAAAGAAGTAATAATTGTAAACCATAAAGAAACAAGGATGGTTAATGAAGGAGAAGATTGACACAGATTACAAGCAATGAACTTGAAAAATTTCAGCTAAATTTTTCAAGATGCACAAACTGTGGCATAGCTCCTTTAACTTCTAACACTGATCCTGCTGTCATGGCTTTTCAATCTTTTTACTCCTAGTGATGAACATGAATTTTCCCATCTCTCTACAGACCCCGGGACCAGGCACATATAAAGTGATTGACCCGAATATCTACAAAGATAGGAAGCCAATCTTTTCAATGAATGCTCGTAACTACGCACCTGGCGATAGAACCTTGAAACCAGGACCTGGAGCTCATAGACCAGAAATGGTAACTATTAGAATCCAATAATGATTATGTTAAAGTTTTGTAAGCACAGAATTGTACCACTTTACCATTTCAATGACTTCTAATGTTAAACTCTCTTTGGGAGATCTATGCTTGTCATACCCACCAGAATAATTGGCACCATTGTGAGTTCCTCTCTATAGTTTCCTCCCCTTTCTTGACAGGGATTTCCTATGGTGTCCACCTTTATGACCACAAGAACTGGAACCTTGTTCCACTGACCTCCCTTGATAGGACAACCATGATATCTTCTATTATCCCAGCCTATTAACTTCAGATTCACGGCATCTCCTCTGTCAGGAAACCCATGGCATCCTGCTTTGGAATCAAATTTTGTCTCTTACTTGCACCTAAAATCGCCGAAAAACTGTCAGTTTGACTGACTGACTGGCCAACCAACAGACTGGCCAATTGACTGACTGACTGATTGATCGATCGATCGATCGATCGATCGATTGATTGATTGGTTGATTGATTAACTGATTTGTGGTTTTATTGATTAAATGCAACTATTTCCTTCTCTTGCAGTTCTGGGTACACAGGAAGAAAGCTCCCAGTTTTCATTTTGGTATCAGGCATTCTGAGTACATTGCACCACTGATTGTGGATCCTATTGATTAACTCAGATTTCCTGCCCTTTCTTATGATTACAGTCTAGTTCCAGAATATAAACCATATCCCACTCCCTCAATAAATCACTTGGGCACCATCCACACTACACCAGGAGAAAGTTGAAAACGTAGCTTTATTTAGCCTCCGAACAGATTCCTGGCGACGATGGAAAAAAAATTTGGCCAGCACAAAACAGAAGAATGAGCAAAGCAATCGGGTGGGACACGCTCACTGGGAGCCTGTTCGCAAGCTGAGCTTTATTCCACAGTAGGCCAGCTTTTCTAAAACGATCCTCAGACAGACAGAATTTGAAAATGCTGGCTTTGTGTTTAAGAGTGAATGGAAAACATTTGAAAACGGAGCTTTTCCAAAACAATGACTTCATGATAATTATGTGATGTCCCTGTTTGGTTTATGGTTTAACTTTCTGGAACAAGACATCTGTTAAAAAAAAAATCACCATTCATTCAGTTATAATTTAACTACCGTCAATCAAAGTTAATGTTGATATAATTTGCGAAAGAATATTTTAAGAATTTGTTGCTTTTTAACCTAGGTGTACGATTTGTACCTGAAAGAATAGACAACGAAGTAAACAGTTGAAGGCCGTTTGGAGCAAAATGTAATATATATACAACTGTTGTCATTTCTGTCTCTCTTTAGGGTATATTTCGGATACAGCTCATGCACTGAAACTGAAAATTCAAAGAATTAACTGAAATGTCTGCTTGCAAAATAGTTGCAAAATAAACAGCACTACTCAGTAGCTTTCATTTGAATGGTCGCACAGTAGGGTTTCATCCACCTTGTACAGCATAATAAACCGTACCACATGAAAGTACTGCTTAATAGCTTTGAATTGAATGGTCGCACACTAGACGTTTATCCGAAGACTGAAACATTAGGAGCAGCCCAGTTTTGTCTCTGAAACTGTCTGTTAAAGCCAATATTAATTTTGTAAATATTTTAGATGTCTGATTGTTAAGTAATACTTTACGTAAATCTCTATGGAACTAACAAAAAAGGAAATTAAACAAACGACAGGGATTTCTCCAACAATTATCTCAAATCCAAAAGTAAACCTTTTAAGATCGTTAATACATTATTTTTATTTTTTTTTTAACCACAAGTGTTGGTGGTTGTTTAAGCTCTTTGCTGCCTTTTGTAGTTAATCTAATTTATGTTGTATGGTTCAGTCTTTAACACAGTCCTTTAGCCATGTAGTAAAGATATTTTAGAGTCTTTATTTTTATCACGAGAGTGCTACAGCTTTGTGTATAAAGAAAGCTTTAATGGTTGTGTGCACGTAATAAATTTTTATTGAAAGTCACTCGGTTTGTTGACTGGTAAAGACGCCGTTATTTTGTTGCGCATTTGCGAGATCCTGGGGAGAGGGGATCTCATGTGAAAACGGAATAAAGCGGAACAAGGAGGCTCCCCCGGGTGCGAGAAACGTTGCTTGCGTAGCCCCTCCCCCCGCCCCCACTACCCCTCCCCGCTGAAATGAACAGTTCTGCATCTCGTTCGTTGCATTCATCATAGCAAAAAGTCCTTTACAATTCTGCTTGCTGGAACGAAAACCTTGAAAAGTAGAATTAGTTGTTTTTAGTTCCATGGGTGGAAAACGTGACACGTGTTACATATCTTTTGTCCCAACAAAATTACCAAGTAAGTTGCACGTCGTCACAAGGAGTGTCCTTTGTCTTTTTAACTTTACCCGCCGTATGTTTCTTCCACTCTACGAGTTTCCTTTCGCGTATTATTCCGAGACCCGGAAATTGTTTGTGAATAAGCCCAACATATGGTTCTTCTCTAATTTCTGCAGTTTCCGTGGCTAAGCCTTTTATATAGNTGATAGGGACTTTAATTACTGGTCATCTAATAGGGTGGCTGTTTAATAGGGGTTTGACTGTTCCATTTAATTTTCTGTCCAGAATTTTCAATTGAATGGTGTGAATTTTGGAAATTCTGCAATTTGTGGGTTTTCCAGTAACTTTCCCAGGAAATTTATGTACCATTCCGTTTTGAAAGTTCAGGAATTTTTGGTTGAGTGGAAAGCTTTACTCTTGATTCATGGAGCCTGGAGTCTCAAGTTCTGGAACTGTGATCATCATCTTCATCTTTATATATTGAACCGCATCTTAGGCTCTAATTTGTTTTTCTAAATTTTTGTGGGTCATTTTAGCATATGTGTACCCTGCAAACAGAGTCTCCTTCGATCTTCCCAAAAAATCTTTTTCAGAGACTTTGTATGAAAGCAAAGCAGTTGCCAATTTGTTGATTAACTTTTAGCAACATAGTGTGGGAGTAGTCAGCAATAGCTGCAAGTGATCATGCACAGCAGTAGAAAACCAGTTTGACCAGCTCAAAACTGGCTGACATGTCATTTGTCTTGGATGAGGGGCAAATCAAAGCATTGCAAGGATGCTCATAGAGTCTCCTTCCTCTTACCAATTTTTCTAGGAAGATCAAAGAAGACTCTACTGACAGGGTTGTACATGTATTGCTGTGAAACTCAAAAAATTATGAACACTTTGATTTGATTTTGGCAGGACACTCGAAGAAACCCCAAAACCACAAACTAATGGGCCATTTCCAAGTTACTTTTACCTCTTTTTCAAAATGAGTCTTGGTACAAACCTTTCATTTTTGAAATGAGATTTTCTTTCACGTTCATTGTCTTGTAAATCAAACTCATTTCCAGAACTCGTTTTGAAACAGAAAGAAAATACCAACTTGGAAATGGCTTATTACCACTACTGTTTGCGGTTTGGTTTCCCACATCTACCTAATTGGCTTTTTTCCTTGCTACACAATAACATTCCATAAGTATTCCTGGTGTTCATAGTTTTCTGAGTTTCACAGTAACTTTGTTGTAATTTGTCGTACTTTCTCAAAGGGGATTATCAAGCTGAGAAGAATCCTGTTCAGAAGCATCCCTTCCCTCCACATTATTCATTTGGACTGCGCACACCCTACGGCAAAAACGACAACAATCCAGCTCCAAATAACTACAACATGCCTGTGATTCTTGGCCCCAAGTCTGTGGGAAAGAAGTCCTCAGCTGCTTTCTCCATGACAAGTAGATCAAAGATTGGAAGTTTTCATGAGGATTTGCAAAAGGTTTGTGTATTGCCAGGTACAAAGGTCTAGATAACACTGCAAAATTTGAAGATAAAACATAAAAATCTCTTGTTTGGAGACAAATTACTAATTATAGGGAGCTTAAGGTGGCTGGCATCAATTTTCAGTAGTTTCCAAAACTTAGATTTCGATGAGTCATTATAACCACTCTTTATCAGTTGATGCTGCAATCATGGTATCAACAAACTGCCCAATCATTGACAAATGTGTTGTTATCAATTTTGTGGCACAATAGGCTACCATAGCAGCGCTATGACCTACTAACTAAAGACACCATTATTTTAACTTTAACGTAAATTAACTCTAAAACAAGCTTGGTGACCCCCAGGTTTCTATTATGGAATTTTGATTAGTAGGATAAGATGTAACATAGGCAAAATTAAAAAAATATACATACATGGGGTCAGTACCACTTTAAATTCTCGAAAACTTAAGGTGGCCCTGAACCCCATATACAGAAGTTGACTGGTGCATTGACTGAGCTCACTGTGTTTTTTGTTCCCGACTCTTATTATACCTGGAAATGTTAAGGGGTAATGGTGAGCTGTTTAGAAGATCTGATAAAGTGTGGAGAAGTTCTGTTTCATTTGCCACGTAAAGGAGTACAGTGACGGTATTGTGAGTTATTTTGGCCATATGCAAAATTACCTTTAAATTGAAGGAAATCTGAAAATAATAATTTGCTAAGATAGAAAAACACTAAAGAAGTAATAATTGTAAACCATAAAGAAACAAGGATGGTTAATGAAGGAGAAGATTGACACAGATTACAAGCAATGAACTTGAAAAATTTCAGCTAAATTTTTCAAGATGCACAAACTGTGGCATAGCTCCTTTAACTTCTAACACTGATCCTGCTGTCATGGCTTTTCAATCTTTTTACTCCTAGTGATGAACATGAATTTTCCCATCTCTCTACAGACCCCGGGACCAGGCACATATAAAGTGATTGACCCGAATATCTACAAAGATAGGAAGCCAATCTTTTCAATGAATGCTCGTAACTACGCACCTGGCGATAGAACCTTGAAACCAGGACCTGGAGCTCATAGACCAGAAATGGTAACTATTAGAATCCAATAATGATTATGTTAAAGTTTTGTAAGCACAGAATTGTACCACTTTACCATTTCAATGACTTCTAATGTTAAACTCTCTTTGGGAGATCTATGCTTGTCATACCCACCAGAATAATTGGCACCATTGTGAGTTCCTCTCTATAGTTTCCTCCCCTTTCTTGACAGGGATTTCCTATGGTGTCCACCTTTATGACCACAAGAACTGGAACCTTGTTCCACTGACCTCCCTTGATAGGACAACCATGATATCTTCTATTATCCCAGCCTATTAACTTCAGATTCACGGCATCTCCTCTGTCAGGAAACCCATGGCATCCTGCTTTGGAATCAAATTTTGTCTCTTACTTGCACCTAAAATCGCCGAAAAACTGTCAGTTTGACTGACTGACTGGCCAACCAACAGACTGGCCAATTGACTGACTGACTGATTGATCGATCGATCGATCGATCGATCGATTGATTGATTGGTTGATTGATTAACTGATTTGTGGTTTTATTGATTAAATGCAACTATTTCCTTCTCTTGCAGTTCTGGGTACACAGGAAGAAAGCTCCCAGTTTTCATTTTGGTATCAGGCATTCTGAGTACATTGCACCACTGATTGTGGATCCTATTGATTAACTCAGATTTCCTGCCCTTTCTTATGATTACAGTCTAGTTCCAGAATATAAACCATATCCCACTCCCTCAATAAATCACTTGGGCACCATCCACACTACACCAGGAGAAAGTTGAAAACGTAGCTTTATTTAGCCTCCGAACAGATTCCTGGCGACGATGGAAAAAAAATTTGGCCAGCACAAAACAGAAGAATGAGCAAAGCAATCGGGTGGGACACGCTCACTGGGAGCCTGTTCGCAAGCTGAGCTTTATTCCACAGTAGGCCAGCTTTTCTAAAACGATCCTCAGACAGACAGAATTTGAAAATGCTGGCTTTGTGTTTAAGAGTGAATGGAAAACATTTGAAAACGGAGCTTTTCCAAAACAATGACTTCATGATAATTATGTGATGTCCCTGTTTGGTTTATGGTTTAACTTTCTGGAACAAGACATCTGTTAAAAAAAAAATCACCATTCATTCAGTTATAATTTAACTACCGTCAATCAAAGTTAATGTTGATATAATTTGCGAAAGAATATTTTAAGAATTTGTTGCTTTTTAACCTAGGTGTACGATTTGTACCTGAAAGAATAGACAACGAAGTAAACAGTTGAAGGCCGTTTGGAGCAAAATGTAATATATATACAACTGTTGTCATTTCTGTCTCTCTTTAGGGTATATTTCGGATACAGCTCATGCACTGAAACTGAAAATTCAAAGAATTAACTGAAATGTCTGCTTGCAAAATAGTTGCAAAATAAACAGCACTACTCAGTAGCTTTCATTTGAATGGTCGCACAGTAGGGTTTCATCCACCTTGTACAGCATAATAAACCGTACCACATGAAAGTACTGCTTAATAGCTTTGAATTGAATGGTCGCACACTAGACGTTTATCCGAAGACTGAAACATTAGGAGCAGCCCAGTTTTGTCTCTGAAACTGTCTGTTAAAGCCAATATTAATTTTGTAAATATTTTAGATGTCTGATTGTTAAGTAATACTTTACGTAAATCTCTATGGAACTAACAAAAAAGGAAATTAAACAAACGACAGGGATTTCTCCAACAATTATCTCAAATCCAAAAGTAAACCTTTTAAGATCGTTAATACATTATTTTTATTTTTTTTTTAACCACAAGTGTTGGTGGTTGTTTAAGCTCTTTGCTGCCTTTTGTAGTTAATCTAATTTATGTTGTATGGTTCAGTCTTTAACACAGTCCTTTAGCCATGTAGTAAAGATATTTTAGAGTCTTTATTTTTATCACGAGAGTGCTACAGCTTTGTGTATAAAGAAAGCTTTAATGGTTGTGTGCACGTAATAAATTTTTATTGAAAGTCACTCGGTTTGTTGACTGGTAAAGACGCCGTTATTTTGTTGCGCATTTGCGAGATCCTGGGGAGAGGGGATCTCATGTGAAAACGGAATAAAGCGGAACAAGGAGGCTCCCCCGGGTGCGAGAAACGTTGCTTGCGTAGCCCCTCCCCCCGCCCCCACTACCCCTCCCCGCTGAAATGAACAGTTCTGCATCTCGTTCGTTGCATTCATCATAGCAAAAAGTCCTTTACAATTCTGCTTGCTGGAACGAAAACCTTGAAAAGTAGAATTAGTTGTTTTTAGTTCCATGGGTGGAAAACGTGACACGTGTTACATATCTTTTGTCCCAACAAAATTACCAAGTAAGTTGCACGTCGTCACAAGGAGTGTCCTTTGTCTTTTTAACTTTACCCGCCGTATGTTTCTTCCACTCTACGAGTTTCCTTTCGCGTATTATTCCGAGACCCGGAAATTGTTTGTGAATAAGCCCAACATATGGTTCTTCTCTAATTTCTGCAGTTTCCGTGGCTAAGCCTTTTATATAGTGTACCTATGGAGGACATAACATAACAGCAATTTTTCTTGGACAATTCTGTCCGAGGGGAAAAGGTGCAATGAGCGGTTAACCCTGTGTGAAGCACCAACCAGTGAGACAAGGCCAGACCACAACACCAAGGGTAATGATGGTAGAAATATCCTGTATTTGGCCTCTTCTTGCACGACTAGTATGTTGTACCTTTTCAAAAATGGCCCTATGAACGCATTTCTCATTGCATTTTCGATCAAAGCTAAAACTGGGTTTTTACTAATAAGTAACCTCTTGTCGCTAAAATCTTAGGCAGGGGGTAGAAATTATTTAAATCCAGAATCACTCTCTTTACAAAGAAAATAGCTTTTCAAGAAAAGTTTCTTTCGAATGTTAAAATAATTGAAATATAAAAACAGTTCTTTTTCGTCTAAGCGCGGTAAAACCATTGTACGCTCTTCAATTTAATTGGGCTGTTCCGAAAACGCAGAGTGTGGAGTGTAAACAAATTGAAATAAACAAAATTTTTAAAAAAACAGAAATAAAAGAAAATTTAAAAGTGACTTGAAATTAACTAAAAATAGAAATTTTAGAAATAATAGATTAAAAAAAAATCAACGCCGCCTCAAGTGGACCGTTCATATGGCGGTCATTTCATTCAGTCAAAATGGTATATTCAACCCACGATTTTCATAGTTAGCAGTTCACGTTTAGAAAAAGAACAGTCCAGTTTGGACCATGTCTAGAAAATGTGACGAATCACGACTCAACTGAAAATAATCTTATCCACCTTCGGTTTCCTTGGGCGAAGGTCGTGTTGCCTTCCAATAAATATACCGCGTGCTTTCCAAAAATAAACTGTGAACCCTTGAACCATTCAACAAACGTTCAGCACTCCACACTCCGTACTCCGGCCCTTCGATTTATGCGCAAAATTTACACTTAAACCCTTCGCACGGTGTAGGAAATTTAAAACCCAACAGGGCACCTTCAAATAATGAATAAAACAAAATACAAGTTTTCCCCTAATGGAACCGTCTCGAAGGCAATTATCGCTGCCATCTTGCCTATAAAGGACAGCGCCTGGAAGGTGAAACAAGGAGACAAGAAATGAAAGTGAAGAATGATCATCGCAGTAAATTTTCCAATTTAAGCAATTGGAAAGAAGAAGCCTGAAAAAAANATCGAGACAAGAAATATTGGAAAATTCTGAAACTCCACCTTTTGAAATATAGGGCTATATAAATACTACCTCTTTATTTGGCCTGAAGTTAAAAATTCTGATAATACCCTTTGAATTGAACTTGAAATGCCAGCTTTTGAAAAGTGACGAAAAAGATGTATTATACATTGTGCAGGAGGTTCCAACAGTGGGCATGTTCAGGGTGTGTCGGGTAAACCAGCCAATCACACATTTGAACATTTATACGTAATGCCTATTTCATAGTAACCATATCCAGCCAGCATGGAATGTATTTCATGGACTAAGAGAAAGAGAAATTGCAAATAAAAGAAAATCATCAATAATCCGATAAACAACCAAAACAAAAACAACAAACAACATAACTTATCATTGGCTGAAGTTTTGCCGCGTAACTGCGCCAGTAATACGCATGCGTTACGTAATGAACTTTTGATTGTAGTGGATGTGAGGTTGATAGTTTGTAGTAACGTTTTCTGTAGTTTGACTAGGAAATAGGCATGTGTTTCTTTTTCTTTGGAAAAAACGGTGGTAGATCGTTTGTTTAACTGCATTTAAAGATTCTCCGACGCTTGCTCACGTCTCTAAGAGAGCTTTCGTGACGCTCACGTGAATGAAAATAGACACCGATGATGGCAGTCGGGCAAGACGTTGACCGAAACTTCTAGCCTCAGTCATTTCCTTCGCAACTGCAGTCGACGTCTAGCGGAAGATTTTCCAGCCAGTGGTATTAAGAAGTTCTTCTCCTTAAGGCAAATGGGACGAAAAGTCGTCAAGGATCCGGAGTCGAAGGAAAGGCTTTTGGGCGATCCTCGATCCATACAGAACGAACCGGTAGACAAGTAAGCGAGTAGTCCTGAGTAATCTCGTTCCCAGTTAAATATTTGAAATGATTTTAAAGCTTTATGAGTTATTATGTAAGCTGATATGTGTTACTTTCTTAAGACCGGTCTATGCCACTTCCTTGGTCACTCTAAGTGATAAAGAAGAATGCGTCAACCAGTTTCTCCCCTGGAGCTATTGTGTTTGCTAATTTGTTTAAATTCCAAATTACATCGAAATCGCCCCATCAGTTGAATTCTCATAGTTAAGAGTTAAATATTGCATAGATTCATCACCTCGATTGTTGTTTTCTTTTCTATGTATGTCCTAGCCGGTAAATTTGAACAAATAATTATGTTGAGTGAAAAGTGATACCCTATTACAGGCAATCGATATACAATGTCCAGGGAACACACCCTGTACCAATTAAATTGCAAGTACCCTGGGTCAGTGTTGGAAGCTTAATTTTGAGAGTGCTCGCCATCAAAGTGAATGGCTGAGAAAATGCACTTGCCTGGATTTTTTCGCTTGCCGGGAAACAACTTTGAACTTTGAGTGCACCAAATTATGCGGACCATTGTCTTCTATGGGTGGTATGTCAAATCAGCAATATGGTCACATGTTTGGTACAGGAAGTACCCAAAACTGAGGATAAAAAAGAAGGAGGGGGGTGTTAAGGTCTTGTTCCATGTTGTCATTTAGAAACAAAATTTGGATTTAAAGATTATTTCCAGTCCGTACACTCTCAAGAGTTTGTATGCATTTTTTGTTTTGTTTCATGCGAGGTATCACAAAATGTAAACATTTTGCAAATACTTACATGAAGTAAATTCAAAGTTTCAAAACAACCACCATTATGGAGGTGAAGTGGTGGAGGCTCTATGCTTCGTTCTTTCTCAGGTCACTTGATGAAATAACTTCACAGCTGTAAAAATCAATGAAGCTGTTGGAAAAAGAATTTGAAAGGCCTCAGAGATAAAGTATGTGGTTCAAAATGAATAACATCAGTTCGCATTCTATCGAGTGAGATTTACAACTTTTGTAAACTTAGGGTGCTGAGACTGCACAGTATGGACTGGAAATCATCTTAAAGGGATTAAGCAAACAGGTTCAAGTCCTGCCGAGGATCATTGTGTTGTCCTTGTACAGGACACTTTTTAATGATCACAGTGGTTCTATAGAAAAGCAGCCTGACCAGGAGGGGGAGAGGGAGGAAGAAATACATCCACATACATCTATAAACCTTTCCCGTATTCCAACAAACAATGGGGTAAAGTCAAAGTCATTGAATCAATGTATGAAAATGTCCACCCCAACCTTACTCTAGTGCTATTTTTCATACACACTGAAGTTGAATGCGAGAAAGGTATATTCTCTTCATTGCTTGGGAAACCAGAGACTGAGCATTCAAGCCTTGCACATTGAGTGTGAGATCAGGGGCGTGGCTAGGATTTTTCAAAGGGGGGGTTCTCACTGTGTCAAAGTGAGGGTACTCACCAGATTGTCATGTTGTTTTCACCACCTGTTGAAAGTTGTTTGCTCAAAAAGGCTTACAAAAGGGGGTCACAGGCATCCCAGGACCCCCCCCCCNATTTATTTGTTTTGGTTCATGCAATAATACCACCAAAGTATTTAATTCCACCCTCAAGCACTTCATAAGGATCATATTTCCACTAAGCGCATCAAATGCATTTCAAATTTTTCTGGGGAAGCATTCCTCAGACCTCTTTAGGAAGGAAAGAGTTCTGCTCCACTGTTATCACTGCTGAAGAAATTATCACTTGAGAGCATATTTATAAAAGTACGCACTGGCATGACCAGCCACTAGGCCAGTGCAGACTTTCGTGGCACTGGTTCTCCAACTTTAATATTACAGTGGAACCCTGTTAATCTGGTGACCTCTGGTCATCAACTGGCCACAAAAATCTGGCCATATTAACAGAGTGACTGTACATGTATTAAACAGGTTCTTTTAAATGGGAAAATGACTGACTGAGCTTCTCTTCTGGCCACAATAAAGTGGCTGTACATAATAATGAGGCCATAAGGCAGGGTTCTTTTTTTGCTGAAACCAAACCAAGGTGGGGTTCCACTGTAATTCTGATAAATAAACATTGAGTCATTCACAGATGCTGAATTGAACATCTCAGATAAGAATGTGGGAAAATCCAGGGTAAAATTCATTGTGTATGGGTTAAGTGTTGATTTACATACTCTTACAGCCCTATTGATGGTATAGAGATGACCAGCCTGGTGTAGGGAGGAGGTAAGGGGGGGGAATTTATATGTAAAAGGGTATCTATGATGCTTGAGACACCCAGAATGGTCCTGGGGGAGGACTCGCATACAAAAATGACGGAGGTGCTCGTCATACCTTTTAGGGGTTAAAAACGCAGTTTTCGTACCTCTTAGGGTGTTTAGGCTCAAAAGGTCCACAGCGGAAGCTATTAAGGTGCCTTCTAGGGTAATGAGCCGAAAAAATAGGACAGGAGATAATGTGTTATGTGAGAATTGGTACCTGTTAAGGCCATTCCCCATTATTGCATTGCGCATCCCTTCTGTGCATAATTTAATGCTTGATTAGTGCGTGCACATTAAAAAATGGTGGCTTTTTCTTTACAGCTGGATCTCACCATAGTGGTAAATCATCATTTTCTCGCAAACAAGTATGGTGACCTATAATTTTTTCTGTTGTTTTGAATATTTGAGAAATAAATGTCTCTGTGTAAAATAAATATGGACCAATTCTCAGTGTAGAACAAAAAACAATTGTCTGAAACGTGAATTTAGCAAGCAATTGTGAATACAGTATTATGGTACTATAGTAAGGATTTATTGGATATAAACAAGGTGCTGTTGTTCCTAAACGAACATGGGGACCCCTCATTTTTATTTCAAAATTTAAGTTCCTATAGTATAAACAATAAATATCCAAAGTTGCACAAAAATCTCATTGCAGGTTCTATTTCAGTGGAATGACCTTAAGGGAGGAAAAATTTCAAGCCACGCTCACAAAACTGGATCTTGGTACCTTGCAGGGGTTCTTTTCAAAATTTCTGACGAGCACCCCTGTCTTTTTACATGGGAGTCCCCCCCCCGGGAGGCATACACCTCTCGTGCAAGGGGTTTTGCTCATGAACCCAGAGCCCCAAGCCACATGAGAGCATTTAACACATTAACTTCTTGTGTTGCCNGGGAATGGTCTCCTTAGTTGTCTAATTTAGCCATTTTAATCATAGTGAGTCATAAGCCCTTCCCCTGCACTGTGGTCTCTGCATCATGAGGGGCTAGAAGTGTTGCTGCTCCCGGCAACAACAAGTTACTCCTTAGCATTCTATCATGTTACCCGAACAATTTTGCATGATTATATATCCAGGCATTAGAGAGATACTGAGGGTAAAGTGGGTGTCTTGCTTGAGTCACAACATAGTGATGGCAGCAGGACTGGAACCTGGAATGTTCAATCCAGAGCTGCGCCAACACACGTGATGCCCTCCAAAAGAAAAATCACTAAATCTAAGATGGAGAAAGCCCTTGTAAAAAGTTTTCCTGGATAAAGGCAAATTCAGATTTAGTTCTTCCCTTCGTGAGGCCTTAATCTTTCCGTGGACCTAGCTAGATTATGTAACACACCCACTATAAGCTGAGATACCAAGCAGGTACAGATCCGTAGTGGTTTCCACTGTTTTACAGAAATCATTCAGATATTTTTAGGATGACTCGGAAACCCAGGAAAAGGGACTTAAACAGAGTTAAAAATCCATAACATTCCATGGGGGAGTGTGGTCGCAGACCCATCTCTAAGCTGCGCCTTTTGTACTCGTCATGACCGTCCATCATTTTGGTCAAAATCAGTCGCCATTTATTCTAGAACTGCATCTGCTATAGCAATTTGGCCTTAAAATTGCAGGCAGATGAACAGGAAAAGAAATCAGTGAAAGGAACACTTGGGAAGGGCTTGGTACTTGTTTGTCTGTGGAAAGGAGAGAGAAGGCTGGGATAGAGAGAGAGCCTTTTATCCAGGGTCATCCAGGTCCTTTAAATTTAAATGTTTGTAGCCTGATCACTAAACACAGGATATCAGAGAGGCTACTTGCAATAAGCCTTTTCCAATGGTACCTGTGTTATAATTGTATGGATTCCCTTCTAATTTACAAAATAATGGACAAATTTTTGATTTGAATTATTTTAAAACCAGACACAGTGGCTGTACTGGCACGATATTCTCCCAGTAAATAATGAGCATAGTTAAATAATTACATGACTGAATACATTAAGAAGAAAATCCCATGATCATGGACTGGAAAGACAGCATAAACTTCAAGCTTGGAATTTTGGTTTGACTAAGCTTATGCTCATATCTGACATAATCTTCCAAGTTCATTAACATTTATCTTTTAAATTGGTTACCTTTCACAGGTCCCACATTAACTTTTGCCCTTGCCACCCTCAAAGAATGTGTGTGGGTGTTGGGGGGAGGGGGGCTGGTTTTCCTTTATATTGGCTATATGGGTATGTGCAGCCCCAAAGGGTATGGTTTTTGAGCTGTTTTGGTCTGAAAAAGGGCAAAGAATATCACCATTTTGGCCTGAAAGAATGTATGTATTTCACTCTGGCTTGACATAGTTGGGTATTTTGAACACGGAACTATTTTTGTCCACATCAACATTGGCACATTTTGTAGCCTTTCTCAAAGGTTTACCGAATTGGAATCTCTGGTTAGCTGTGGTCATATGTTAGAGCCATTTACTTATTTTAGAGGTTTGAAATGGGGTGTAGATGTTTTTCCCTAAGTCTGAAATTATAGGGTATTAAAAATCAAAGTTTCAAGGTTCGGGCCACGCACCCCCACCAAAAATTTTAGGGAGTATCCCCCTCCCAGGGCGTCCATCATCCATCATCCAGAGTCGAGATTTTAGAACATGATAGCGACATAATGACATAAGGAAAAGATCAGTTTTATCTTTATGTTATTATGTTCATGCTGTTACGTTGCTAATATGTCATTATGTCTACATGTTCACACTACAAACATAACGTCCATTTTACATCGTAGTTTGTGACAATGTCGTTTTGTTGTTATGTCACTAGTGTGAACCAGGCTTTGGCATCCTTCCTCCTACGGGAACCTTTAGGAAAACAGACTCTCATGAGTTGTGATTGATTTCATTTTCATTCCAACTATTCAAGTGATATTTCTCTACTTGTTTGTTTGTTTTTTACATAACATTGCAGTGGGGAATAACAAAAGTCAATAAAATTGATTTTGATGTGACTCAGAACACGATTACATAATCACTTGCTTTGACCGGAAGTGAGATTGTGTTACACTTGATCGATTAAAAAAGATCAATTTACAACCAATACTTCTGATCACCGCCCTTTTACCTTGCAAGCTTGAGTTTTGAAGGTCAGAAATATCTAAATTAGCATTTTTAATAAAAACATTTGCGTCGCAATGTGGTCACATGAACGGCTGATCACACAATGATACGGGCTTTTTTTGAATGCGATTTCCGGTTTCAAGTTAACATATCAAATAACATTTTGGTGCCCTTGCGAAATTCGCTGATGAAGATGCCGAATGGAGGAAATAACTTTTGTCGGCAGAACGTAAGGCTGTTGAAATAATCAAAAGAATCCCGCAACAAGCGCAAAACTTTGAAAATACAAAGTCGCATTCTTCAGAAGCTTCGCTTCGCGCAACACGTGACCTCTACGTGATGGTAAGGTCATTTGCTTACTTTAGGTAGGGAGGGGTAAGTGCCAATTTTAGAAAAGCTATTTTTCTTAGGTTGAGACAACGAAAACCCCTAACTAAGAAAAGAATTGCTAAGAACGAATGCTAGGCATGTAAACTTAAGAAAAGATAGGGTAGATAGCTTTATGGAGGAAGTATAAAGTAACATTTTTTATGAGAGATATTGCACTCTCCTCCCCTCCCTCTGGGGGGCAGTCATCTGGAACGTGTAAGTGTCATTCATTTGGTTTCCGGCGTTCACCGCTCCCAGCGAAAAAAGCTTTCAACAAGCTGACAAAGCAGAAGTCTTTTGCTGCAAAATCTTAGCACGCTTCGAACAATCTCGCGCATAAGAGTTTTAGAAAAGTTTTCGTGTAAAGTGCGTTAGAGTTTTTCTTAGCTTCTGAATCTCGCAAGAAGTCAACGCCGAGATAAACTCGATTTTTTTTTCCAACATGGGCGCCGGACGCGAAGAAGTGAAAATTGAGACGTTTCTTGAGAAGAAGGATAAAAGTCCTGCGAAGAAAACTCTACTTGTGTCAATGGAACCACGAGATCGGTAGGTTAGACTTAGTTAGTATAGGTATTAAGGTAGAAAAAGGTAGATTTTAGCTCAACTTGTGGCGGTCTTATTTCGNGTGTCAATTTTAGAAAAGCTATTTTTCTTGGGTTGAGACAACGAAAACCCCTAACTAAGAAAAGAATTGCCAAGAACGAATGCTAGGCATTTAGACTTAAGAAAAGTTAGGGTAGATAGCTTTATGGAGGAAGTATAAAGAAACATTTTTGATTAGAGATATTGCACTCCCCTCCCCTCCCCTCCCCTCTAGTGGGCAGTCATCTGGAACATGTCAGTGTCATTCATTTGGTTTCCAGCGTTCACCGCTCCCAGCGAAAAAAGCTTTCAACAAGCTGACAGAGTAGAAGTCTTTTGGTGCAAAATCTTAGCACGCTTCGAGCAATCTTGCGCATAAGAGTTTTCGAAAAGTTATCGTGTAAAGTGCGTTAGAGTTTTTCTTAGCTTCTGAATCACTCAAGAGTTCAACGCCGAGGTAAACAGGTCTCGAATTTTCTTTTCAACATGGGCGCCGGACGCGAAGAAGTGAAAATTGAGACCTTTCTTGAGAAGAAGGATAAAAGTCTTGCGAAGAAAACTCTACTTGTGTCAATGGAACCACGAGATCGGTAGGTTAGACTTAGTTAGTATAGTTATTAAGGTAGAAAAAGGTAGATTTTAGCTCAACTTGTGGCGGTCTTATTTCGCGATCGATGCTTTGATACCGTTGCATCATCAACTGTAGTGTCACCGACTCCCTTCTCGTTTTTTTTTTTTTTAAAGTTCTATGAAAGCATGTTCCGGGCACTGTGTAGTTCAAAGTAACCTTGTCTTTAGATGAGTTTTAAAACATTTTTTGTGTAGCCTTCAGTAAGCGAGCTTAAGCCTGACTCTTTGTGGAGCTTGTCTTGCTTTTGAAGGAACATACTGTTATAGATGGTGGCCCATTGTGCTGATTAATGTTATACTTGTTGCTATCGAGCTAAAATTCAAACATCGTTTTCTTTAACGCTTTAGATATTTGGAAAATCGATGAACGGCGATTAGATAAATAAATGGATGTTTACCGTCCCTCTAAACGTTGCGTTTTCTTTTGGTTGTTACATTATTTCGGTTTTTTCCGCGCAAAATTCATGTTTAAATCAATATTGTTATCAAAATAACGATCTAGTGCAATATTTCGTGCCACGATAGTGATGTTGAAAGCAATTTACCTTCACGTAGAGAAGTAAGCTTCTAGATTTTTGGAAGGTAGAGAATTTTAGAATTATAGACACGTATAACAGAGGGGTAGTTTGCATATTTTTTTTTACTTCAAAACCGCAGATTATTTCGCATTTTCAGTATGCAGTCACGAGGAGATTTAACTAGTAGTGTTCACGCTAAGTCGAAGAGATTTTCGTGCACGCTGCTGCTAAAATTTCCTGTCCGGAAATTCAACTACCTTTGCCCTTGTACCCAAGATAAATATGTAACCCCGCCAAGCTTGTAAACGTCACAGAATTTTTCCAACCCCCAAAACCATTGCCAAAATGTGGTTTTCTTTATACATGTGGTTTGTTAACCACAAATCACTTTTACGTGGGTGGCATTAATTTTGTACCTTTTAACTTGATACAATATTGAAAAGTCAACCAAGTGTATTTGTGAGTGGTACTGTTCAAGATCTTGAAAACAGTTTAATCATAACCTCAATATTGATTGCAGTTCTTATTTCATATGTTTGACATGCCTTAAAACTGCTTCCGAGCTTTCTGTTTAGCAAATCTTTTTCTGTCAGCAACAAAGTGTCAAGGCATGATTCCTCTTTTGAGGATCAGTGTGAATAAGTCTTTGAGTAATTGTTTTACCTGGGCAGTTATATTTTCAAATTTTTCTCTGTCGATATCGTGTTATTCAAGCTTCTTATGAGCTGATGGTCACTTGAAAGAATCTTATTGCCAGTCAATGGTCAGGTATTTGAAGATATTTGAATGCATGGCAGCAATATTTAAACAGTTGTCACTAAGGAGTCAGAAATATTATTTCAACAGCCAATTCTGCAGTGTTTAATAGATTTGAGAGCATTTCTTAGGTAACAGAAGTTACCTATGTGCAAAATAATGCAATAATTATTGCATTGTGTTATTTGAGCTTGTGTTTTATAATACTGTGGGAATCCCAATTTCTTGACCTAAGCTTTCAAATTTCCTAATAACTCAAACTTTTAGTCCTTTCTCCCCTCAATCAAATGCTGCAGTTTTACCCTGCATTCCTCTAACTTCTTGTATCCAATTTTTTAAACCAATTCTCTCAGATGTTGATTGAAAAACGAGTATTTCACTGTATTATTTTGCAAACTAAGCAGTATTAAAGCCCTTTCAATTTGAGGAGACATAAATTTAAAACAAATTTTTTTATAGCTCCTAAGGCAAAGCAGTAACCAATATGCCTTGACATGTATTTATCAATATTGCTTAAGTAATGTAATTGTACCACATCTAAAAATATACATGATTGTATGTACAGTTGAAACCCCGCTATTTCGAACTCTCTGGGGAATCGAAAAATAGTTTGAAATAGCGGATGTTTGAAATAGCCAATATTACATGACTGAAGAGCAATTCCAAGGGAAATGTTTTGAGTTTGAAGTAATGGGGAATTTGAAATAACCGAGTTCAAATTAGTGGGGTCCAACTGTATTATAATTATCTATAGTTAAAAATATTTGAAATGATTATTGTGTAATATAATATACTGCAACAAAGTAATGTTTGTGCTTTGCTTGTTTGGGCCACAATGGGTAATGTTAACTAACAGATAGCATGCAAGCCAAAAGGGAAGCAAAGAAATAGTTTTCTTTTTTGTTTTTCCCACAGTCTAAGCCTTACATAACTTACCTTTTTATTTTAACGAGGAGAGGATTTATTTAAGGTCACTTTTTTTTCCTACAGGTTCCATGTGGTGTATCTCATCATGGTTATTCAAGGAGTTGGGACTCTGCTGCCATGGAACATGTTTATCACTGCTCATGCAGTAAGTAGATTATTTACCAAATAGAAGATGGTTTTCCTCAAAAGGGCATTGTTTCCTTGCAAAACGTGGAAGGCCATTGTCTATTTGGTTTAGAAAATGGTTTGGAAAAGCGAAAAAAAAACTTTTGCATCTGAGAAGGAGTGGTGATTGCACTGGCCTCCCAACATCTGGGTCCTGATTTCTTGAACACTCAATTTTCGAACCTCCCGATAACATGAACCAAAAATTGTTTTCCTCTCCTCATTTGAACAATGTGATTTTATCCCCAGTTTCTTGCATTACCCAATTTTCCAAACAGATTTTGGTTTCCCTTGGAAGTTAAAAAAAAAAAACCAGAATTCCACTGTATGCACTCTATAATTTCCAGCAGTGCATCTATAATGATAAGAAATAGAAAACATGTACTGTGTTTCTATTGAGTTTCAATATAAATCTACTAGCGTTCTATCACGCATACCATTCTCTGATTGGCTACACTACTCACTATCCATTCTGTGATAGATAGTGAGAAGCGTAGCAGTGTGCCCTTGTTAACAAAGTGATGGCCGCTTCTTGGTATTTTTGAAGTGTCTGTAAAGAGGATTTAGCTGAAGTATCGAACGACTATTAGGTTTTTAAGATTATTTGCTCTCAATTTCTATGCATGATAGTTGACGAGGGCTGCGCCCTCGTCAACTATCTTGTGATAGAAATCTCTAGCTCTTAATCTAATTGTTTATTAGTAGAATTCTACTAGTATACTAATGCAAATGCTGCAATCCGATTGGCTGAACCATTGCACGCTATCAGCCATTAGTGTGCAGTGACTTGGTTTGGTTGAAAAAATTGTAACGTTTCCTCGATTCTCCAAAGTTTTGAAAGAACATTTAGAAACGAATGGATAATCAAACAGCTGAGAAGACTAAAAGGAGGGCATTTTCAGTTTCTTGAATTAAAAAGCTTGAAATTTTTGACAGAAACTGATGAATGCGCATAGACAACTGCAAATGTCAAATTGACAATTCAGTCCATGTAAATTCTCTAAAGCGTGAAGTTCAATACTAAGATCAGAAATAATTGGAATCATTATTTGAAGGAAAATTCAGTTAGAATTCTACTAAAACAATTAGATTATTCGGTCTCGATTTCTATGAGGGAATAGTTGATTCGGCGTTTGGCTTCATCAACTATCACCTCATAGAAATCTCGAGCTCATAATCTTATTGTTAAATAGAAACACCAGTGGAAGTTAGGAAGAAAGAGAAATGCTATGGGAACACCAGCCAACAGCTGAGAGCTTTTTCAAGTTCTCCCAAACTATAGGCTGGAGTGTTTCTATAACTCAATAGAAACATGGAGAGCATGTTTTCTACATGTGTATTTCTTTTAGAAAATTCCGTGACTGGAAAAAGAAAGCAACTTGTTTACTTTGATCATTAGAATATAAATTCTCTTTGCTTGTGCCATCTTCACATCATGCTAGTTCTGTGTTGTATCAAGTTATAGAAAGATGATTTACCAATCAGCGAGTATACTTTTTGGGGGGCTATTTTCTATTGCCTGCTAAGCTCCAACAGTGGGTATACAGTGGGTAAATCATTACAGTATCAATGGCTAAACTGCAGATTAGTGGAAAAAGAAACTTTGCTTCAATCTGTAATGTCAAATCAATGTTTGATATAGAAATAACTTGTAACCTATTCTTTACTTTATCTGTTGTAGTATTTTCAAGAAAAACTGAAGAAAGATGAAGACCTGAAGCACAGCTTTGAAAATTACTTCTCAGTGGCAGCTATGGTTCCTAATGTTCTTATGTTCTTGCTAAACACTCTTTTTAAACACAAGTAAGATTTTTTTTAGAACAGGTAATATCCATGGTATTGTAGTTCTAAGTAGAGATTGATGACTTCCAGTCTCTCTGTGACCAAACTCTGGTTGTAATGTAAAGGTGTCAAGAAGGAAAGGTTCTACTATGTTGGAAATGTTTTTAGTCTGAACCTGAGGGTAACATCCATGCTGAACCACTTGACAAAGGAAAAAATTTTGTGGTCGTGATGACTTGTCACAAGCAGGGGTCTCATTAAGGCGGGGCACCAGGCAAATTGAACGGCTGTAAGGACAATTTTCCCCACCTGCTTTGACCATCGAGTGCAAAGTTGGAAAGTTTTCTTATAAAGAAGTTCAGTTGAAATACATGTAATTTTGCCTGCCTGTAAAAACCAGTTGCCCTCCTGTTGAAAACATTAATAAAACTCCTAGACAAGCATAATTTTTTTCAAACTAATGTTTTTTCAAAACTACATATACATGGCCTTGCCCAATACGGAGATTTGGAAAGTTAAAAGACCAAAAGGTGACTTCCAGCAGCTGTCACTGATTATGAACATCAAAACATTTTCTGCCTGTTTTACTGTTAGTGCAGTTAACATTACCAAGATGTAACTAGATGTTGTCACAATAGTAGATGATAACTATTTAAAAGCTGCAATAGTATATTTAAACATTGTTTAGCAGTTGATAACTGAACGTATTCTTTAAAATTGCCATAAATTATCATTAATTTAACTGTGACATAACAGTGACTCATCAAAAGATTAACTTTAGACTGCTGTCAGTTATAGTCAGGAAAAGCTTCTTGACATGTGTGTGGTGTGTATTTTTCAGGGTTTCTCTTCAGGTCAGAATGCTCACATCAGTTTGTATTATGACGCTGTGCTTTGTAGTGACAACAGTCCTTGTCGTCATTGATACATCAAATTGTAAGTTGTCTGCAGTTGGCATTTTAGATTTTCTTACAAAGTTCCTCAAATCATTATTGATTATGTTGTGGTTCAACATTACCTCTGGTAACAATATAAGACAGTTAATATTACCATACACCAGGGTAAAATTGGCATTTATATACAAATTATATAATTTATATTATAGTATCACCTCTTGATACACATGTATATATCTGCTAGACCTCGGAGTCAAATATATAAAAATTGTGTGCACTGTGATGAATCAATTTAAGTGAATTGTATCTCCAAAAATCCTAATCCTGTCAATTGAAGAAGTGTGAGAATCACTTTCTTTGTTTCATGTTTCTCTATGCTCTTCTCTTGTCTTCTTAAAAATAACAGTGCTCTCCTGCCTGTTAACTGGCTATTCCTGTTATAGAATCAAAAAAATTAATTGCTCCTCTTCTCGGTTCTCACAGGGACAACAGATTTCTTTTATATCACCATTGGAACAATTGTCCTAATTAACAGTAAGTTGTCATTATATAAATTTTGTGTATTACTTTATGTATTAAGTTGTTGTTATTAATGTGTAAGGATCATGAACTGGAATTTAATTTCACTGTTGCCCACTTATGTACCTGAACGGAGAGAGGACCATAAGACTAGCATCTTGCCCAAAAACACAGCACAATGACTCTGGCCCAAACCTGGACCCGGACCCGGATGTAGAGTCCAGAGCGCTGTTGTTAGGCTGTCGCATCACCCAGGGTTGCATGCAATGAAATTGTGTTCTGCTTTAATTTCACCAGTGACCAGTGCAGTCTATCAGGGTGGACTGTTTGGCGTGTGTGGAATGATGCCGCAAAGATACACTGGAGCTGTTATGACTGGCCAGGTAAAATAGTGCTTATATCAGACTTCTGATCTGTGATAATGTCAATCTAGTCAGAACGACAGCTAGACATATATTTTGGAAACCTACTTTTCAAGAGACCATGCAGTTGTTAAGCTTCTCAGCTCAAATGCAGACTCTGTTTTTTTGGTGCCTTTTGGAAATTTAAACATAAACAAATTTAAAAGTCAGTGATAAGCGAGAGCTGCTGTGGTTCACTCTTCATGTACTTGTTAGCACATTTGCCAACCAAAAAATATTGAAACTCTGTAGAGGGTGTTTGATAAAACTGAATAATTTCACTTCATCTGTTATTTGTGTTTTCTTCTTCAAACAGGGTGTTGGGGGCGCATTTGCAGCTTTGGCAAGTATTTTCTCTCTTCTAGGTAAGCTTGCACCATTTTCGAAACTAACTTGGTAAAGTGAACATTATGATACCAGAGTCATTTATTGAGCTGTCAAACCCATAAATTACTTACCTGATGAAATGGTTTGGATTCTAGCTTGGTGAGATTCGTCATGTTGAAATCTAGTCAAAACACTTACTTTCAAATTGCTCCCTGCCCTGTCCCCCACCCCCATCCTTCAAGTGTGTAAATGAAATTGCAAGGCTCCCCAACAAACTTGCTGGTGTTGGAAGGGGGATGGAACCTGAGATGGAGTTCATGCATCTTACCTTTCAGGAGAGGTAGCAGCACTCATTGTTACTTGAAACAATTTTGGAGATTAAAGTTTTGGTAAACAGTACGATTTTTTTTTTGGTTTTCTGTTGTTGTTTCAGGAGGAAAGGATGCCATAAGCAGTGGTTTTGGTTACTTCATGTCGGCAGTTATTGTGTTAACTTTCTGTCTTGTGACATACATCTTGCTGCATAGGATGGTAAGAGTTTAAGGAAGGAATTTATGTAACATCTGGAAAAGCTCAGTGAAGGCTATTTAACTATTTGACACCTGTTAAGTTTCCAGTCAAACCTTCATAAAGTCTTCCACTCTTCCATTGTTCTACACTCCTGGAACTAAAAATCATTATTGTATGTGGTAAACTTATTAGGGGAAGTTCTGCCGGGTACAAAGAAAACAAATTTCCGGACTTGTTTTTCCTGCACATTCAAACTTACTATGATATACTGGCCTGTAAGTCATTCTCACTAATGCCCAAAAAGTTTATCTCTTACAGTAGTTCTGTAATTTGAATTTCCTCAAAATCTCCCCAAGAAACTTCATTTGCCCTGTGGACAAGTTGAAGACAGAATCCACAGCCCAACTGGCAAATCCACGATCCCTGATCGGTCAGAAACGACAATCTTTAAAGGAGCTCAGTCACAGTATTTTGAGTTACTGTTTTGGCCACACACAAAATGGCCTTTAAATTGAAGGAAACCAGTAAATAGTAGTTAACTAAGATAGAAAAACACCAGAGAGATAATAATAAATCATAAAGGAACAAAGATGGTAAAGGACAGAGAAGATTATTAACACAGATTACAAACTTGATAAATTTGGGCTTCACTTTTGAAGATGCGCAAACTATGACGTAGCTCCCTTAAGCACTATAGAGATAATATGAATTCTAGTTTCTCTCGGGCTAAGAGAAATGTCCATGATAAAGAGGCATCTGTATTGTGGAGGTGCGTACTAGAATCTTTGTCTGACTATGGAAGCTGTCCAGCAGCAGGAGTTGTTAGTTACAGTTGTCCATTACCAGAGGCTCCTCAGTAGTTTTCATTTGAATATCACGTGATTGGAGGTAGTAGTCTGTGGTAATTTGAGTTTCAAAAATAATGGTTTTATTTGGTTTTTCCCTCTAATAGAAATTTGCCAGACATTACATTTCACCACATGACCAAAGAAGTGAGATAAGTAAGTGAATTCTTCCTTTATTGCTCTCTCTTGTATTGCAAATAAATTGGCTAGCTCAAAAACCCAATGGTTTGTTTTGCTTCCAGTCTCACTGGAAACAAACAGTCAATTTCTATAATATTTGTTAAACTACCTATGGAAAACCTAATTGTAAATTAACTTTTAGTGTAATTTGATATTGAATAGTGAGAAAATTATGATATAATGTTATGAGAAAATTTTTGTAGCAGCCAGACTTAAGAATGAAATTCTGAAAACTGGAAAGTTTCTTTAATCATCAGCTTATATGTTATGCTCTGACCTTAGTAAGGTTTTATTGGGGTTTTTTCCAAGAGTTTAATAAATTTATTAAATTTTCAAGCCAACATCAAGATTTTTAAATCATAGATCTCTTGTGATCTCTTACCTACAGTGTACATAGATGCTGCAACTTATTCATGTTTGTTTGTTTTTTTCTTTGTTTTTTTTTCATGTCCACAGAATTTCCAAGTATTCAAGCCGATCAGATTGAGAGACTAGCAAACTGGCAAATACCACCAACAAGGAAATCAGGAGGCTACAAACACTCCACATTAAGTAAGAACAAAATTAACTGTACTTTAACTGTAGTTTACCAGTCCTCACCTCACATAACTCCTTACACCAGAGTGTCGAATAATTAACAATTATTCCATGAGCGCGTGTTGGATATGAGATGGTAAATAGCCAACGAGGCCCGTAGGGCCGAGTTGGCTATGACCAATCTCATATCCAACAAGCGCGAATGGAATAATTGTTTTATTAAATTCGTTGCGTTTGTATACTTGGAAATTATAGCTTAATTTTATTGGGTTTTAATTTTACAAAGCGACCGGAAGTCGATGTGGCGAAAACAACAACAAGTGGGAAATCACATGACATGCGCGCCGTTTGTAAAATTAGTTGAATGAAAAATTTGAAAGCGAAGCAAGCGAATT